GCTAACAGGTTCAGACTGGAACTGCACAATCGCTTTGAACTTTTAGGAAACGTAAGGAACATTGAAGACGAATGGAGGGCAATAAAGGAAAATATTCAAACAAGTGCAGAGCAAGTGGTTGGCCGCAAGCGTGGCAAAAGGAAAGAGCAATGGATTCAAGCCAGAACGTGGGAGAAGATAGACGAACGGAGAGCGATAAAACTTCAAAGAGATCAAGCCAAAACGCACGAAGAGAGAGAAGAAGCAAGCCGGAAGTATACGGAAATTGACCGTTTCGTGAAAAAGTCCTGTCGTCGGGATAAAAAGGAATGGCTTTCGCGAAAAGGAACTGAAGCTCAACAAGCAGCAGATCGTGGCGATTCGAAAACTCTCTACCGCATTGTAAATGAATTGACAGGCAGCTCAAACCTAACGAATGTCCCTGTCCGAGACAAAAATGGGCGGCTCTTGCTAAGTGATGAAGAACAGAACGAAAGATGGATAGAACATTTTTGCGAGGTGCTCAATCAACCTGACCCAACGAAGACTTATTGCTTCGACGAGATGGATACAGCGGAAGACTGTCTAACCTTTTCAATCGATGTTGGAATCAAGAAGAAGTTCCAGAAGATTGGAGAAAAGGAGTCATCGTTAGACTACCCAAAAAAGGAAATCTGACAGAATGCGGAAATTGGAGAGGAATAACCTTACTTTCAGTACCGGGTAAAGCATTCTGTTTAATATTGCTACGAAGAATTCGAAGCGCCATAGACAGACGCCTACGAGAGGAGCAAGCGGGGTTCAGAAGTGGTAGATCTTGTTGTGAACAAATCTTCATTCTCCGCAATATTATCGAGCAATGCATGGAATATCGGCATCCTCTATTCATCAACTTCATTGATTTCAAAAAGGCGTTCGATAGTATTCACCGCGACTCGTTATGGGCAATTCTTAAGATATACGGCATACCGCAACGTTTTTCACCATCTTTTAGGGCTTTTATCACCATCTTTGAAGAGCTTGTACATGAACTCATCGTGCTGCGTAAGGACAAATGATGGGCATACTCGGTTTTTCGAAATCACTACTGGAGTACGACAAGGATGTATTCTATCACCATTCCTGTTCAACATCTGTCTAGACTTCGTTATGCGAAAGGTGGTAGGACAAACGAGAACTGGCATAAGTTGGTATGACCAAGAACGTCTCACAGATCTGGATTTTGCGGATGATATTGCACTCATTGAGGAAGACGAAAACAAGCTCCAAGAAACGACTACAAACCTTAGCAATGAAGCAACAATGATTGGCTTACGCATCAGTGCCGAAAAATCGAAGGTCATGCGCATTGGTTCCCACAATACACAAATGGCCATTTATGTCGATGCGAAAGAACTCGAGACAGTTGACAGATTTATTAGGTTGTCTCATAAATAGTGTCGCTTTTTTTCAACCAAAAAATTTTCATCTAAATCCCCATGCTTTTACATCGATCATATACCATTCGAAAGAGAATTGTCTGCTCTACAAGATGTTATGTTCTCTTCCACTATGTTCCAGGTTTTCAAATTTTAGGCCTGCGAAATGGGAGGTCCAGCCGACAAAAATTGACCAAACCGACAACTATCTCTAACTTTATCTTCCCTTGGGAGAAATCAATCAATGATGTACCCTCTACTTATGCATGACCTCTTCTAAACATTACACTATTAGGTTTCCCAACAAGTCGCGTCGTTCCATTTCCAGACCTGGTTTTTCAACCAGAACTCGACGGTCGAGCACCATTACCTGAGATCGAGGTCGAAATTTTTTTATAGCCGAGACATTGAAAAACTAGTAGAATTTGAAGAACAAGTCTCATCTCCTCAGGGATAGTATTTTTTTCAAAGAAATGCGGTCACTTTCGTGGATAAAGCACCTTACTCCTAAACACCTAAAATTCGAGCTAATTCCCAACAAACATTAAAACAAAACAAATGAGCGAATAGAGCAGAAGAAGTGCTCACAAAAGATACACCAGTTGATATAAAACAATAGCGTTTCAGAGGAAGAATTTCAATTTGAAAATTGCCATGGCTTATCGGTCGGCCAATTCGAAAAGAAACAGGGCAAACCTTTTTCGGCAACCTAAGGGTGGAATGTTCAGAAGAGGTCATGAGTAAGTAGAGGGTACATCATTGATTGATTTCTCCCAGGGAAAATAAAGTTAGAGCTAGTTGTCGGTTTGGTCAATTTTTGTCGGCTGGACCTCCCATTTCGCAGGCCTAAAATTTGAAAACCATGGAACATAGATGGAAGAAGAACACAACATCTTGTAGAGCAGACAATTCTCTTTCGAATGGTATATGACTCGATGTAAAAGCATGGGGATTTTGATGAAAAAACTGACACTATTTATGAGACAACCTAATACATATCTGGGAAGTACAGTTGTTTACGACGGAGACGCAGAAACAGATGCGCGTACTCGGATTGCGAAGGCAGCATCTGTTTTTCAACGACTCCAGTCAGTATGGACAATGTCCTCTATCTCACATAACATTAAGATGCGGCTGTACCAATCCATTGTGATTTCCACGGCGCTGTATGCAAGCGAAACATGGAAAATCACTGCTGGACTCGTCAGAAAATAAATGCCTTCCATCAACGTTGTCCTTCGCCGAATCATGAAAATACGGTATACAGATCACATCATTAATCAGTGATTGTGGCACGGCGCAGACTCCGACTGGCTGGACATATCCTACGTATGCCACAACATCGCATTCCACGAAGGGCCATGTACTGGGTCCCTCCAGGAGCCAAGAGAGCAAGGGGCCGTCCCAGAAACACGTGGAGACGAACATTCGATAATGACCTAAAGACCATGGATGTTTCTAGGGATGAATGTGAAACACTTGCGCAAAATCGTCAGCAGTGGAAAGAATTCGTCGCCCGATGTGCTCAACAGCACGGGAGGAACTAAGTCTAATAACGTGCCTCGCCCCCACAGACCTGCCTGTGGGCTGACCTTAATAAGTTGCTTGCGCTGACTTCCCTGACTTTACGCTCAGAGACAATGTTGATTACCAACACATCATATAACGTGTGCTGAATAATTTTCTCTCCTAAAGCTATACACTTCAAAGCAGTATCCGGAATTTGACAAATCTTATGTCATTTGTATTCTAAGTTTCTTAATTAAGTTTGCGCGATATTGCCGCTCTTTCTGTTTCAAGAATTCAGAAAGTATTTACTAAATTAAGAGGCAGCAAATATCAGGGACGGTAGTAAAGTGCCATAGACTGGGAGTTAAAGGTGGTGAACTACGGCCGTAAGCGGTGAATAATGAAAGGCGAGACAGCCAGATGACCCCGCTCTGAATGGCGAACTTCACTACATTCCTAGCAAAAGTCGCGTCGCCATGGACTTGAACCATGTAATGCAGCGCCCATGAGCGCGACGTTTGCCACTGCACCACAAAGCATTGCTGGTTACTTTGAAAGAATTGTAGAAAGCAAGGTAGTAACCTATGAGGGTTGCAAAACATCCAGTATCATGGAGATCCCGCGAGCGATCCAATGTCAACAAGGAACGAACCCACTGCGCCAATCGACGTGTTTAAAACCTGGGATCATGGCCTATGTTCCCAGGACTAAGGAAGGAGCTATAACACGATCAATAAGTGGAACACTGCAGGGGACAGCTGATCACCTTATTGGCAGAAAGTTATCAATATTATCGATAGCTCCAGTGGCTTTCTTGCTGCCCACACTCAACACCTTCCACGAACCCCTTTCTTCCCTGCGCTCTGCGCATGGCAGGGACGCAGAGACGCTCAATGCGACCAATGCATGACGTGCAGAGAAAGGGGAAAGTGCATGGGGATTGAAGAGACGCAGATAGACGGCGACTAAAATGTACTCAGGGGTACATTTTAGTCGCCCTCTACATGACCCTCTGCGTCTCTGCAATCTCCATGCACTTTCTCCTTTCTCTGCCAGGTTCGCCGTCTAGGCAAAGTGCCACCTTATACATTGGCCACTTAAGATGTTGCCTAGACCTCGCCCATTGCGGCAGGTTTCCCGCCTTTCCCAATGCTTTTTAGGTGCGGACGAAGGCGACGTCAACGCGACCTATTGGCCAACTATAGACTGGCTGTTTAGGGGACTTTACTACCGTACCAGGGTGTTCAAGAAGATTTGAGTCTTTTTAAAGTTCACCGAATTTACTCAGCGCTAACAAACCACTTCAATATTTCTTTGTTGAGCGCTGTTTTGGCCGCAGTTCGCCTAACAATCTCAAAACAGACCAAGTTGAAATTTATTGCTGGACCTCTCAGCCTTGCGGTGTTCAAGTCCCACCTAGGGCGGAAGTTTTCATAATCAAATATTCTTGACACACTTCAACAAGTAAATATAGCCACCACCATCGTTCTATCTGCCGAATAGTGGATGGAATCAGAGTCAACCGTGAGTTTAGCTGAGCCGGACGGTGGTTCGTATTCGTTCTTGAGTGGGGGTCGTATTTGAGGCATACAGAACCTAACTGAGTCAGTTCGAACGGAGTCGGGAGAGGGAACTTGAGGAAGTCGTAGTTGTGGGAGAGGGTTGTTCCAAGGAAAGTGTAGAGAATTGAAGTTTTCCGAAAGCCCTCAAACATTAAAAGCAGCCTCGATGGAGTGGGCTGATACATTGTATTGATAACTTAGTTTTATGAACAATATTCTGTTTGAGCGTTTAGCCAGGAAGAGGTCACTGCTAGCAATTACAATGAGATCACCCACAGGCATTTCTGAGGTGGGCGAGGCACACTACAGTAAGCCCATAGGCTTACCGTATGCGGTTATATTCTAAGTTCCGCCACCTTCAATTTGGAGCGAGAAAGCCTAGCAACGCGGCCCGCTCTCTTCGCTTCAAGGTAAGCTTATTTTGTTTCCAAGGTTCCTCTGATAGGTAGGCTTCAGTTCTCGATTGGGAGCAAGGTAGGTTTGAGGTTTGTCAAGTTCTAAGAACTTCTCCTGAAAAGGCAAGTTCAGAAATATGCGCTTCATCGTTGCTGCCCTTGCCATGCTCCTCCATCTCTCGCAGGTGAGTTATGTTATGATCAATGTGGTAGTGTTAAGAAGACACAAGACTCTCACCATTGCCCTCATCAAGCGCATAGATGATCACATTTCTTATGCAGCAAACATCTCCAATTGATGTCATCCATGGATTCTGCTTCAGATATGTCCGGCATTGTCCTGCACGTTCAAGCAACTTCCTCCTTCTGCGATGATAACAGTTCCACATTATCACGCAGATTCGCCTTTTATCAAGCAAGATATTAAGGATTGCATGCAGATGTGCTTCGAAAACACATCGTGTGCTTACGTCCTTTCCTTTGAGGTCAGCTTCTTATAGATTTTATCATGTGCACAGAGATTCAGAGACCACTTTCCTATCAAAAGTTCATGTTCAAGGGTTCGCTATTACTTTCCACCTTACGAATTGAACTTCAATGGCGCCCAAGAATAGTAAGCACGAATTAACAAAAGATGGAAGCCGAGATTAGGAATCGAGAGCTGAGAAGAAAATCATTCCGTCTACAAGTAACTGCGAAGCATTGCTCCAACGCTCCTCTTCACATGGATAGAAAATAATTATATCGCTCATGACGCACGCTAAACTTTTCTTCGCACAGGATGCCGCCGTTGATGAAACATTACCATAAAAGACTCCCTAGATGTTCCACTATAAGGCCTTCCTTTAGAGCTCTGAGTAATTAAGAATATAACGACATCTGCCATGAGCGCCGAGCTCAGAGAGGCTTAGGCAATGGCTCCAACTTGGCAGCCTAGATGCTAAATGATTTTTTAATCGCTTAATTGACGGTAGCCTATGAGCGATAGCAGATCTGGCGGACCGTCTTCTACCCAGATTTAAGATAACCTCGCGATGATTCACAATCCGTCACGGACCTCATCTGCTCAAACCATGTGCCACATTTCTGTGGGAAAATCTCCTGATATTCTAAGAATAGAAGGCTTTATGAATTTTGTATAGATTCTAATGTGTTCTGCAGTTTGCAGTTAAGATCATTCAGCTTGGATGGAGAGAACAATATTGATTCCTCTTCGAATGTGGAAGCGGGTGGCTTATTGTTTTTTCGTGCATATGATAACGTAGCAATTGTACACAACACAGCAGTTGTTTATCAGCGGTATATCCTTCTATTATTATAAAGCGCTAACTTTGTGTGTCGGTTTGTGTATCTGTATGTGTGTATGTATGTATGTATGTGTGTCCGTCCGCAAAATGAAGTGAGTGAGAAGGAAGCTCATGGGATAAACAAACCGCTAACAAATCGGGTAGCTTACAGGATTTGAGATATCAATGTTTTGTAGCAGGATAGTTGTGATAACACTCTTAGGGCTATATAAACACCTGCTTAGCACACTTCCGTTCATTCCACATGGTGCTGCAGTGGCAGCTGGAGGGCAGTGGAGAGAGGAAGGGAGGATGGGAAGGGAAGCGAAAAATCTACCGTCATATCATGATTGTGTCCCTTCTACTGTATGAAACACCATTGTGTTGCATACGCGTCACTTCCAGGAGGTGTTGGTGTCACAGGAGGAAGGGACCATAGCGGAGGATAGAAAGCTTGCGCAGGAAAGGAAGGTCCCGGCGGTTGACGGGGGACTAATCTGGTTACTATATAAAACGAGTTTCCCTATCACTTCATTTTGCGGACGGACACACGGACATACATACATACATACACACATACAGACACACATACAAACCGACACACAAAGTTAGCGCTTTATATAATAGAAGGATAGTGGATATCCTAGGCATGCGTGAATGCCTCATGCAGACTAAAGACGGACTGTATGTGTACTGTACCACACTTCGTCGTTACAGTGAGCCATCTGTCTTGGCGATGTTGACGATTTCCTACGAAAACACATTTCTTTAAAATAAGCATGGATGACTTCAAAAATATAAAATCACTCGTAGTTAAAAATTTGGGCGTTTCCCCTCTCGTCAACATCGTTGCTCCCTCTAGGGAAAGCACACATAGGTAATCTTTCGATCATTAACCTAGTCTGAGTGAGGTACTAGTACACCCAGTCTGTAAGGTATAATATGCAGCTTTGGCGGACTTGCAATTGATTTTCTCTCCACTGTTCTAAAATTCATTGTTATTTGATCTTTTTTTATAGAATGGCAAATGCTCCTCTGATGCGTCCGAAGGCAACACTTTCCGAGTGGATTCGATGATGGATGAGTTTGGTCACAGTGGAGTGGCTTTTCAGTTATATCGGAACGCGACTGCTACTGAATGTCCAACCTTGGAAGAATGGTCGCAGCAAAGCCGTTAGAGCCGAAGCATGTTAAAAATGATTAAGTTGTATAATCGCCAATTCCCACTACCAGCGAACATTTTAACTTCTATATTGTACGCTAGACCTGAAAGTTTAACCTTTTTTCTTTTTGTAGCTTCGGAGGCGAATGAAGCGGTTTAGTATTCACTAGTGTGACTCCGTAAACTTAACTTTTATCTTTTACGACCTCAAGCACTACTACATTTTCGTAATCAGCACCTTCCGACTTTGTCAATTTTGTGTTGCTCCTCTTCATAGCCGGCTATGCAAGGAGTTGATTTGCATGCTGGATATAGTACGTATTGAAATTCAAAGTTCCTTCAATAATGAGTAGTGAAATTAAGATGGCAGCACCGAAAAGCACAACATCCCGGCTTTGTCAAATAAATTTTAGTCTTCACTAGGAACTTAAGAAATCCTTGTTTTATTAGGGACACAGCTCATTTTCAAGCCCTCCGCCAACATCATGATAGCTTAATTGATGATGAGTTCGCGAATGTTGACTTTCTCCGTATCAGACCGGAAACTGATTTTTCCCTAGAACTTGTCAGTAGGATTAGTGGGTGCACTGGCTTTGGTGTTGGATATGAAACTTTCTTCTATGATGACGGCTGAGCGACGCCACAATTTTTTTTCAAAAAAATTCGTTGAAATCTTGCAGGGAGTGCTGATATCAGACATCGAAAATGGCCTAACATTCAACGACATCTGATCTCCTTCTAAAACTGTCTTGGGCATAAAAGATGGAGTGTAATATCTGTGCACTATAAAAGATACAAGACAGACGGCCTGGAGAGCGAGAACGCCACCACTAGTCTGCGGCCACATTGATTGCATAGAGAATAGTTCGCTGCATTGATT